ATATTATATTAATAATAAAATTTAATAATATTTTATGTTAAGCCTCTGTGTCAAACTTTAGCCTCTTCGAATTGGCTACGAGGCAAGAACCTGTGACGCTCCACCACAAAATGATGGTTGTTCTAACACAAAATTATTTTAGTAATTCATTATTTATTAATATTAAATAAATTATTATAATAAAATATTGACTATCATAATAAAATAAATCTTATTATTATGGTAATTAAAAAAATATTAGAACGCATTTGTAATTAGGTAGAAAGAAGAAAGTGGTATATCGTTATATATTCAACTCTAGTTTCTATTCCGATTCCAGATAGTAAACAATATAAAAAAAATTTTGATTCTGATTCCAAAAAATTTGTGGAATAACATTCCCATTGAATTCTAAACACTGTCATTCTAATTCCTAGTACGTAAATCGAGCCTCTCAAATCCGAATCTTGGGAAGGCACCAATGCCTTCGGGTACATCTATACTATATATCTATATCTATCTATACTATATCTAAATGGGACTATAGAGGAGAATCTTTACCTCCCCATTTTGCCCCCAACTTTTAAATACATACCTATTTTGCCCTTCAAATTTCTACGAGAGACACGATTGTTCGAGTTAAAGTGTTTGTTGAGATAACAAATCCAAAAAAAATCTGACCATTCGATGAAACAATAAGTTTAATCCAAAAGAGTTGTAACTGTTTGAGTGAAAATGTGAGTTGAGAGAAGTTAATCCCATGAAAAGTACAACTATTTGATGAAGAGATGCATTTATCCAGGTATAGGTGTCATAACAAATAATCTATAAAATGAAAGATTATATATTTTTCTTCTATGACCTAAAACTCATCTCCAAAATATTAATGAAGATTTTTCTTATTTTCCTGAGTGAAAAAGTAAAAACTGAGTCATGTCAAAAGAATATATGAAAATCCAAAAACATATTTAATCGGTTAAGAGGTAAAGTAACAAAAATTATGTATTCCTACTATCTTCACCTTTTATTTTTTTAGATTATTTTAATATTTTTATGGAGATTACTTTTAAGTTATATATTCATGATACCTTCGTGTTTTAATATTTAGTTAATGTTATTTTCAAGTTTGATTTAATATTTAGTTAATGTTCTTTTCACGTTTGATTTATATTTTAGTATTTCTTATTTATCTTAATATGACTTTTTGATTGCTGTTGTTCTTATTTTATTTTTCTTGGTCATGTGATTCTTTATCCCACATTTTATCAATGATTTCATAGCAATACATAGTATTTAGTTTCTTTCTCAAATTTCAATTCTTTAATTTTGGTTCATTCTTCCTTATTACATAATATACAAAAGATAAAAGAATGAGTAAATAATTTAAGAAAACACACAAAAAGATTATTGTTGTATTCTTTAAAAAAAATTCACAACGGATAAGAATTATCCGGTTCAAATGAATTTCGCATTGGAATTATGTTTGCATAGATAGTAATAAATCATTATGGGCAGAATTTTAGGAGAGAGCAATACAAAGTTCTCGCTTTAAAAATATTTTAAAAAAATAATTATTGAAACTAATAATTAATAAATTTAAGATGAAAGAGACACAATTCATGTAGTTAGATAAGATTTTTTTTTATTTACTATTTTGGTTTAATTTATTTTTACTTCATAAACTTCAATTTTTGCATTGTGTCCATTTTATTTTTAGTTTTTTAATATCAAAACATTATTTCTTTAACTACATAATATTACCTTAATATATTTAATTATATCATCCATTTTTTAAATTGTCTAATAGGTTTGTATCCATATTTAGATTAAGAAAGTTGGTAATAATCGTGCCAATAGGTATAGATTGTATTTTTTAATTATTATTATATTTAAATGGTGAAGTATAATTTATATTTATCCTTTTAAAAATAGAAAAAATATATTTGATTTTTCAATTTTAGAAAGTAGCTTAAGAGTAAAAATAAGTAATTTTATTTGTTCCAATCATTTAATATTTAATTATAATTTTGACAATCTAACAAATTATTTCACTATTGTTGGAATTTTTAGTTATATAATTTGATTTAATTTATTATGTCTCGTTAACAATAGACTTGATTATTAGTTATTTCAATTTTATAGTATATTCAATGTTTTTTGTACCTCTTATTTTATTATTTTAGTTTGAAGACTGTACTTTTTTTATTGAAAATGTCAACAAATAATAATATATTTTATTTGAAACAAAATATTAGTATCATTTAAAAGTTATGTTGAGTTGTTATTCTATACATTAAATTGGTAGAAATATTATATTAAATATATTTTATTTGAAATAAAATATTAGTATATATAAAAGTTCTGTTGATGCCTAAAAAAAAAAGTTCTCGAGTTGTTATTCTTTACGTTAAATTGTTAGAAATATTATATTAAAATGTTTATAATCACGTAGAATGCACGTGATACTAACTAGTACTATATATAAATGAAATTATAGAGGACAATCTTTACCTTCCATTTTTGCCCTCAACTTTTTAATATATATCTATTTTACCCCTCAAACTTCTACGAGACACGACTATTTGAATGTGTCTGTTCAGATAAATTAATTAAACGAGTTGCAACTGTTCGACAACGTGATGCATCCATCTACGTATAAGTGTGATTACAAACCATTTTATTAAAAAAAAAACCATGTATTTTTTCCCCAAAAATTATGTTCCAGACACTAACCATAAACCTTCCCTCAAGAGGGAGAATTGTGTGACTCAGCATAACAGATGGTGCAAGTGATTTGATTCGCATTGGTCTACAAGAAAAGTTTTTTATTTTCATATTCAAAAGTTATGAAATATGTTATACGGAGAAAGAGAAGATCCAACGAAGCGAGAGAATACCAGGGAAGAACCAAGAGAAGGCACGAACCAGAAAGAGGGCTGATGCTCGACCACCTAAACCGACCTCCCGACCGACTAGTGGTCGGAGAACTCTAGAAGACCCGACTCGACTGTGATGCATGTCGGCTCGAACCCATCGCATCTCAACTCTTGATCCGACGATAGGCCCATAACAAGATACGTGGGTCAGATAAGCAGATTTACTAAATGTATCAAGATTCGAATTCTAAGGTATGCCTAAATATCCTACTCTCCATATTCGACTACTCTGATACTGACTTAAGCATTCCGTGTGGAAAAAGCCACACCGGTCTTAGTGCTATTACACTGGTCTTAGTGCTATCTGTTTTGCAGGTCACGTCGATCCCTTTAATTCTAGAATATTGGTGCCAATTTGGCGGAATTAGAGGAGACCAAATTTCTGCATCAACCAAATAAGTTTTTAGATCATATCCTTTCCCAAAATATCTTTTCATTTATTCAAAAGGGCGAACATCACAAAAAACTCATACCCTATCATATTCTCAAAAGAAAATCAACAAAAATCGAAGATCTTATCAATTTCATGAAGGATAATAAAGTACCCGAGATCATAAAAAAATGTAAGTCCCTGATAGTTTGAATACTTTAACTTATTTTCTAAAACCCTTTACATTAACTATTCAAACAAAATGTTTCAGGCTCATTATTTGCTAATTTATATTGAACATTTTTTTACTATTCATATTATATTTCTAAATTTTAACATATTAACTTCCAATACAATGTTGTTAGTCAAAACTTCCAATACATAACTTCAAATATTTTCTTAAAACAACATTTGTAATAATGGTTTTTTTTATCAATATATCGTCGTAGCAGAAACTTTGTACACACATATGATTTATTCTTTCCTAAAATTTGTAATGATACAATTTTATAATATTAATATTTTTCAAATGTGTTTAATGTCTTACCTTCCTTGATTGGATATATTATAAATAAAATATTGTTAATTTTTTTGAAGTATTATTGAAATAATGATAGGGAGCAAATTCGTAAAAAGAAAAAAAAAGTTGCAAATCTTTTTAAAAAATTAAGGGACCTTTTCACAACGATTTAAATTTTATGTTTTATGTTTTTAGTTTTTAGTTTTATGTTTTTAAAAAACAAAAATCATATATGTTTTATAACTGTTTGTTAAAAAATAGAAAAATAAAGTAACCATTTTTAAAAGTTAGATAGAATTTTAAAATTTAGATTTTAGAATTTATCGAGAAAAAAAATTATTTGGTGTCATGCTTTATTAGTTTATTGACAAAATATTATAAGTAAAATATATGTTTATTATAAAAATACGAATAAATTCATAGAAAAAAAGCATATTTCTTTAAAAAGAAAAAAACTAAAGATTTTTCATCAAAGAGATTGCAAAAAATCTCAAAAAAAAAAAAAACAGAATTATCTAATTCAATTGTCCTTAATAAAAACTAAAAATTTTTCATCAAAGAGATTGCAAAAAATCTCAACCAAACAAAACAGAATTATCTAATTTAATTGTCCTTAATAACTACTCCATGATTTGATAGCGAAAATTTACTTCTTTTTATGAAAGAAGAAAAATTTTTATTGTATAATATCAACGTATTTTTTGAGTTGTCTATCCATCTTTCACTATTAATTTCATACCAATTTTGACCTGTATATATTTTTTGATAAAAAATAAATTATACTTTTTAACTACGAAGAAAATTAATAATTATATTAAATAATTATTTAATCCAAAATAACTATGTTAAAATAATATTCTTTAATTTTTATTTATTTACTATGTAATAAGAGTTCAATTATTATATAATTACCTTCGTGGCTTTTTTTCCTTTTAAAGAATTCTTAGTTTTTTATATATATATATTCATTCAAATGTAAAATTTCACTTGAAAATAGTATGTTCAAACCACGTACAGAATCTAACCAGTGGGAACAAACTTCCCACACTCTTGATTATATAAAAATAAAAAATTCCAAACATTGTTGTTGAACTAAAAATTTAAAAAAAGAAAAAAATGATTAACATTTCTTGAATTCAAATCATTAATTAATAGTTGATGAAGTTTCGTTGCTTCGTTGTAACTGCGATGCGATTCAGAAAGCAAAAAACATTAAAGAAAACAAATAATGCATCAAAAACAGGTTACCTTAGCGATTCGTTGTTCATTCTTCACTGAAACGGTTCTTTAACTGTTTCTCCTGTTCAATCCATTCCAATTCTCCAATCCTTTTTTTTTTTTTTTTGGTTAATTTCGACTTCAGCAACGTTTTCAAACGGAGAATTCCACTCGGAGGAAAAGACGAAATCTGTTGCTTCTTTTCTCTTCTTATTTTGTTGTTTTCTGAGCCCTCGTCGCTGTTCGAAGTTTCAGATATTCAGTGCATTTTGCGGTGAATTTTAAAGCGAATCGCTCAGGTTTTGGGGTGGGCCGGCCGTTTTCTGTGGCCTGAATCATCTGGAGATGAGATTTCGGCGGGTTTTGCTTGGATTCAGGTCGATTTCGGCAATTGTTCGTCTCTGATTTCACTGAGATCTCCGCAAATGGAACCTCCGAGGGGGTTTTTGTCTTGGTTATGGAACTTCATTTGCTTCATTCCCTTCTTTCTCGGCCTTCTGCTTTTGGGCGCCATTAAAGGTTAGCTTCTGAACTTTATTTCTTCTTGCATAGCTCTGCCGCTGAATTACCGATTATTTTTACATTTGTTTTTGCTGAAACGCGGTATCGACGAATGCAGCAAGAAATTTTTTCTACCTTTGATTAACATACCTATTTTTAGATTACCAATATTTAGTTTTACTTCAGAGTTTTGTTTTATTCCTTGCTTCCCAGTTCCCAACACTCAACTGTTTATGGAACCCCCTGTTCCAAACATCTTCTCATTTTCATTTTGGGGTAAAAATTAGAAGTGCTTCAAGACATACTGCGAGAACAACTTTGCACATAGCCTTCCCCAAACTATGCAAAGAGGGCAAATCTTTGCTCAAGGGGCAATGGAAAACAGAAAAAGAAAAAGGGAGACTAGCTGAAAAGAATAAATAGACTTATCTTATCTTTAGAGAACTGAAAGAACATGGTGAATTAATGGATGTAATGGATTTTAAGGAAGTTTTGTTAGGCAAGGTATAACATGGTGTGAAGACTATAGTAGGATCTTCAAATCAAAAGGCGAAGAAAAAGCACTATTTCTGAATATATTTTCGAGTACTTAGAAAGGAAAGGGTGGCCGGAAGAGTATACCATTGAAGATTTGTTGGAAAAGTATCCTGTCTTTTCCACTTGGGTTTCCTGGTTTTCAACCGTAATATATGTGCTCAAGATACTGTATTGATGACTACAGATAAAATTGGGAGATTAAATGGGAAATTTTTGGTTTGAAAAATGAGTCAGTAGCATGTCAGTTAACCATAATGATGTCAATTGCTCAATTCTATGTTTGAGTTTGACTTGACATACTTGCGGAATGGTAAGGTATGAATTTTTTTGGTTTCAAAACTAATGTATTGAGACTCAACTGTTATTTCAGGTGTCATTCTGTGCCCTCTGATATGTCTCCTTATGGTAGCTGGAATCTCTGGTATCATATTAGGTCTTTGGCCAATGCACTGTTTCTGGACATATTATAGCATTCTGAGGTCTGCCATTGGAAAATTTTGCCAAGCCATTTATTTATATCTGCTTTGTGCCTTTACTACTTCCATTTCCATCAGTTACCCCCATACTTGATCTAACATTTTTCCCCCTGAATTGACAGTGCTCAACAACTAGGGCCTGTTTTAAAAATTTTTCTCTGCTTTGGAGCACTACCCATTCCCTTGATTTTGTGGCCAGTGGTCGGTATAGTTGCAAGTATCGTTGGCGGAGCTGCATATGGATTTTTTTCACCAGTACTTGGTACATTTGATGCTGTTGGAGAATCAAAGACCAATCAATTGTTTCATTGCTTCTATGTATGGCTTTGATTAGGTTCTACCTAGTTCTTCATTATCATATTTTTTTCTTACTGTATGAAGAGAAACTTATATTTTTGCTACATCAGGATGGAACTTGGGACACTGTTAAAGGATGTTTCACAGTTATTCGGGATTTTGCAGACTGTTGCTTCCATTCCTATTTATCATTTATGCAGGACCTACGACAAAGAGAACCTCCAAACGGGGAACACTATGAGATAAGGTTTGTTGTCTTGTCTCTAGATCGGGTTATTGTATTATTTGAGTCATTAGAATGACTTATACCACAACATACGATCTACAAGACAGAAAGCATATCCATTAACATCAATCAGTGAAGCTCAGTTAATGAGCTAATAGATTAACGGTGTGGCTCTTGAAAATTCTGTCCAATGCAATACGGAATGAAAGATGCTGAGAAAGTGATTTTTTCATCTGGACCTTGGTTTTGGGGAGTCAATACCATAGACAGAATCCATTATACGTGTCCTAATTCTTCTGTCAGCCCTTTATGGTATGTATTTTATAAAAATGGAGAGGAGAGGCAAGACCTTATTCTTTACTATCATCTTTTAAGTAGAAGGTGGTGGGATTTTTTTTGCTAGAAAGCTTCAATCCACAGTTGGCCTTCTATGACTATGAGACAAAGGAAAATGTTTCTCGGTTATTTTGTGGGCTTAACTTCATGAAAAATCCCAAGCTCATCTGAGTAAGTGGGTGAAGGCAATCCTTTGGTGGGTTATTGAAAGAAAAGAAATGAAAGAGTCTTTGATGATAAGGCAAGGGGTTGGGAGGATCCTTTAGGTATAGCTAAATTTAATTGTCGGAGTTCCTTAAAAATCATTCTTTTTTGAATTACTCTGCAAATGTGATTAATGCGAATGGGGTATGTTTTTGTAAAGGTTTATGGTTAGCCTAGCTTAACCTTGTAGTATTTTCTTTGGGGCTTATCTTTTTGGCTGAAGGACAAACTTATTTCAGGTCCTTTTGATGTACTTTTCACCAAACTTATGAAAAGTATTTCTTTTTGCCAAAATAGTTAATGAATCTTGTGTTTGTAAGAAATAGTCGAGCTTATTTCTCATTAACATCAGATATAACCCCTTTCTTTAGGTAGGCCTCCTGCAGTAGGGTTGGTTTTTTGTATGTCCATGTACGTGTTCTTTTTTCATTTTTCTCAATGAAAAATTCGGTTTCTCATAAAAATGAAACATCAGACATAACCCATAGCTTATAATGTATATAGGAAATATTTGACTTGGCGATGATGTTGATGACCCATTGTTGACTTTATTTTTCCTGTTCATTTATATGCAGGTTGCTCTATCTCCCGGGTGCTTTAGTAGCCGGGATTCTTGGTATCATTGTCGATGTGTTCATGATCTCATTTATAGCCATATACAAAGGTCCTATTATGCTTTTTAAAGGGTGGAATCGCTTGTTTCATGACCTTATAGGTCGAGAAGGTCCCTTTTTAGAGACGATATGCGTTCCATTCGCTGGTCTTATTATTCTACTTTGGCCATTGGCTGTTGTTGGTTCAGTATTGGGCTCCATTGCCTCCAGTCTCTTCTTAGGTGCCTATGCCGGGATTGTTGCTTATCAGGTTAAATTATTAAATGCTATGTCTTTGATAAATCTCTGGTCTTCTAGCTTTTTACTAATTACATTTTTTATCCTGTTAGTTTGATAACCACGTGGGTAACCTGACTGAAATCACACAACTGGGAAAGTGGACAAATTTCTGTTAAATGCTTTCCCTTTTATTCCAATTTTTAATTATAATGATATGATAAAGTCTTACTTTTTGCATCTTGGTCTACATTTTGGAAAATCTGACTTATCGAATTTGGCAGAGCTAATAAGAGAACTCAGTTCAGTGAAATTCATGTTTGCAGTTGCACTATAGGTTATGTAATGTATGTGGTATGCCAATACATCCGATTATGCTAATCTTTTGAGATTTGTGTCCGCAGGAATCTTCTTTTGTTTTGGGGCTTCAATATATTGTGGCATCCTTGTCGATTTATGATGAATATAGCAATGACGTTCTTGACATGCAAGAGGGATCGTGCTTTCCCAGGTTTTACTCAAATGCTTAAATAAGTCGTACGCTATTCTTTCTTCCTCATACTTGAGTCGTTATGATATTATAATGATTTGTTATAATGAAGGCTGAATTATCGAAGAGATGGCCAATCATCAGTAGATGGCTTGCATACAACTTCACTCTCGAGACGAAGCTCTTTTCATGATCCTCCTTCACGCATGAATTCACTCAAAGAACCTATGATCGATCTGAAGCCACTTGAGGTACTTCGGCTCATTTTGGACTGAATAAGCATTCCTTTTCAATATTTTCTCCGATATTTCTCGGATCTGGATGTGTAAAGTTTTGATTTATATTCATGCACTTATATCCTACCATTGCTCTGATTCTGAGTTGACTTATATTTATCATCTCCGTAGCTGCTTGATAGCTTGTTTAAGGAGTGTCAGTGCCACGGAGAAAATATGGTTTGTGAAGGAACAATAATGTCAACCGATATCGAAGATGCAAAATCGAGCAAAGGCAGCAAAGTTATTAGCATTGGTTTACCAGCGTTTTGCATTCTTCAAACACTATTGCGTTCTGCAAAAGCAAATTCAGCTGGATTGTTGTTAAGTAAGTATCTGATTTGTCTTTAACCTTCCCTATTTCTCCATTAGACATTGACATATGATGATCTCTCTCTCTCGTGTTCTTTCTAATGGAATTTATAGGCTTACTCTTCATATTGATGAATGCAGGTGACAATGTTACTGAAATTTCAAGCACAAATAGGCCTAAAGATACCTTCTTTGATTGGTTTCTTAATCCGCTTTTGATCATCAAGGACCAAATTAGAGCAGAAAACCTTTCCGAGTCGGAAGAGGAATATTTGTATAGATTAGTTCTGTTGAGTGGTGATCCTGAGAGGTTGAAGAATTCTACTACCGTAACGCCTCCAGAATCTGAGCGAAGACAAGCCGAACTCGAAGCATTAGCTCGAAGGTCAGAATTCAAATTACAATCAGATACAGTGAAACTTAACGTTGTTAGTGCTATACTGTTATTGCATAACCAAGTTTAGTTTGATTTGTTCTCTCCTTTTTATCTGACTTTTCTAAGGCTCCGAGGAATCACTAAATCCATCTCAAGGTATCCGACCTTCAGGCGTCGTTTTGATTGCCTTGTAAAGAAGTTATCTGAAGAACTTTCGAAGAAAACGGGTTCTTGCAAGTCAACTAATGGAAGTAGGTCGTTGTCAAGGTCAAGAAGTGCATTTGCTAGAATGTTTAGTATGAAGTCTTCAAATGGCAAAACTAGCTACAGTGGGACCGAGAGAGAACCTCAACCAGATGAAAGAGATGTAGAAATTGCTTAGGGAGGAGAGAAGATCTTTAGTCGGGTCGAAACTTTTGTAATTTTTTAGTTATTTTCCAAGTGTCATATTGATGGTGATAAATGTATGCCTTTGTTTTGAAGTATATAATATATATATTTATATATAGGTCTGATGATCCTACATGAAAGAGACCGAGATTGCAATTCAAGTGAACCTAATTCAATTTCCAGTACAGGCTACACATTTTCAGGTTTCGCCCTTTTTGGGTCTTTGTATTCTTTCATCAATGGAGCGAGAGCGGTCATGCACTTCGAGAAAAGGGGCAGCAGATAGAGGGTTAAGGGGGCGAACTGCAGCATAGCTTAATAGTCAAAGCATCTTGACCTCTCCTAAAATGTCGTAAGTTCAAATTTCCACGTCGATATTTCTAATGTAATATTCTAGAAAAACGATGATTAAGGTGATATGATCATTGTTTGGCTTGTTTTTCTCATATTATGTTTGTGATTATCTATTCTCTTTGTTTTAGAGAACCAAACTTTAGTTAGAAAAAGCAGATTTAATCTCTTCTGAATTCACAAAAAAGCTTGGTTGGTTTTCCAAACAATCATATGACATCCATAAGATATTGAGAAGAGAAAACTGAAAGAAGCAAAAAGTTTCTATTAGAGCGAAACTTACAGGGAGGGAGCTAGAACGGTCGCCCAACTTCTATATGCTTTCCATGAAAATTTTGTATTCTATATTGCATGTATAGTAAGAGGTACAGAGAGAGAGAGAGAAGAGAGAGAGAGAGAGGAATTAAACCAGCACATCCCTACTTGATTCTGCATCTCACTCATATATCAGAATTATCTTTAAGTTTTCTTGCACCATGCCACCACCACCACCACCACTCCCTAGCAGTTTCAGAAACAGCAAAACCATTTTTTCTGCATCCAAATAGGAATCAAAATGTTGTGGTAAGTTCCTTTCCAATAAGAATGTGAGAAGAAGATGAAGGGAAAAGTAAGTTGGTTACCATTGGGGGATAGTCATAATCTTGTTCTGGTCTGGTATTGTTTTTTGCTGCTTTATTCCCAGGTGCCTCATTTGACTTCTTCTCATCTCTAGCTTTGCTAAATATTACTGTAAAGCCTTCGGCTGAGGCCGGATTGTTGACATCCCACTCGCCGAATTTCGGCAAGGGACGGCCTTTATCCTGCTATAGACATCAGAAACATATATATCAGAATTCCCATCTTCTTCGTCGAGCATTACTTGAATTCTCATGTCTCATCGGTTCTTCCATTGCTTTCATAAGGGTCTTAGAACATTTATATCAGAGTTTTCATGTTTCATCGGTTGGTTCTTCCATTGCTTTTATAGGGCCTGTGTAGATCACTTTCTGCAGAAATATATATATATATATATATATATATATATACATGCTTTTGGCTATGCATTTCTGTTAAAGCCATGAAAATGTTTTCTGCTGATATGAAACTCAAAACAAGGCAAACATGGCAGGAAAAGGGCAAACGGAACCCAAGTTCTGAATGTCTATTAATGATCATTCCCAAATATGTCAAATTCTTTTCCATTTCTTGAATGCTCTGCATCTTATATGAAAGAAAATTTACAACATGGAAAAGTTGCTCGACACGAGCAAATTTCATTTTCTGAAAACAAAGAAATGATATGGAAACAACACAGGCAAGGCAGGACAATGAAATGTAAATTTCTAAAAAAATGATGATATGGAAACAAAATTGATAGATTGACAAAGGGTTGATTGTTTGCAGGTATAGAGTTGATACAAATGATTCAGAGGAAGAGGAAGAGGAAGAGAATCTTACCGATGCCATTAAAATACATTAACAAAGCTTGCTGCGGAGAAGATGAAAGGCGTAGAGAGAGAAAGAGAGGAGGGAGAGAGAAGAGGAGGGGGCCATGGGGGTGGAAGGAAAGGAAGCCTAAAATGGGGATAACAGAAACCGACTAATTTGGTAACTCTCTTTCACAAAAACGCCTATGGCTATGGCTCACATTCAAAAGGCAGTTTCTTCTAACTTAACCAACTCTACATTTTAAACATAAACTAAACATAGCTTCAGACTAATTAATTCTTCGGACTAAACAATTCCAAACTTAAAAACTGGGTTAGAAAATACTTTTAGTCCATGTACTTTCGTTAAAGTAACAATTTAGTCCCTGAACTTTAGTTTGTAACGATTTCGTCCATGTACTTTTAAATTGGTAACAATTAAGTCCTTATTGTGAAATTTTTTTTGTTAAGTTTCTTGTATGTATAGATTGATAAATTAAAGAGAGACCAAATATGTTTATGAATTAGAAAGATTAAATTGTTATATGATAAAATTTGACACTTAATTTTAGTAAAAAATTTTACTATAGGGACTAAATTATTACAAATTTTAAATTAAATGAACTAAATCGTTACAAGTTAAAATTCAGGGGCTAAATTGTTACTTTAAGAAACGTACAGAGACTAAATCGTTACAAATTCAATTTCATGGACTAAATTGTTAATTTAGTAAAAGTACATTGAACAAATATGTTTTTTAATCTAAAAACTTTGCTCCTTCCCAAAACATCCTTTAAACGAATAATAAATGAAGTGATGATATTAGAAGAATAGAGTTTATGGAAGGCACACGCCCACGCTGTCTTCTTGTGTGATTATGGCGGCAAAATGAGCGTTGGAAGACTGGTCCACGCTGTCACTGCTTTCAACGGCCCACGTTTCTCCACGTCATCATCTACCCAGGTGGAGTTTTACAAATCCACGGCACCAGATTCGCCTCCACCTAAACTCCTAATTATCCATTTAAATCTAATTACGAAAATATCCACAATATTTTTAATACTTTACTTCATCATTAATAATATACTTTTAAATAAATACAACTGAGTTTGCTTATTTCATATTAATCTCCGAACTTTCGAATGTTTAAAAGGAATTTTACACGGATAAAAAAGATATTGATTAGTCAACCCGTTATAATTTAACGGGTAAAAATAAAGTAATTTTATGTAAAGTTAGAGGTTCATATTCTCAATCGATAAATTCTGTAAAAGAAAATTATTGATTATGCTACTAATTTAGTGATTAAACTTGAATGGTTTTGTTTATTCAATCCTTTTAAGACATTAAAAAAATTCAATTATGTGATAGATTTAGATAAAATTTTATATAAAGTTCAAAATTAAAATAATAACTTATAAAAAGTTTAAAATTTAAGGGGACTAAAGCGAAATAAGATTATAGATCAAAATGTGTTCCTTTATTTTGTTATATATATATACTTTTGGCTTTTTGTATATTTTGAAAATTTAGGCCAAATTTTAAAACCTTAAAAAAACTTGCTCTTTATTTTTTAAATTTAGCTAAAAATTCAAATATATTTTTAAAAGAGGTGGAAACTTTACCAGTAAAATTGTAAAACAATAAGTATATTTTTTAAAAACAGAAAACTAAAAATAAAATGATTCAGATAGTACTTAATCTCTCTATTAGTGCATAATAAGTCCTAAAAATTTTAATAATAAGTCCTAAAAATTTTAATTTTATGTCATTTTTGAGTGAATTTTTTTAAAAATGTCAAAACGAAGTAAAAAACTTATAAGACACAAAATTTAAAATTTWAAAATGTACTAGACAAAAATTCTAGAATTTATTAGATATAATTTAAAAATAATATATATTAGATATTTTTAGAATTTAATTAAAACTAAGATTTAAACAAATTAAATCATAGTCAATTTTATTTTTATTTTTTTAGTTTTAGAATATTATAAAATAATCATAAATTAATTAAGAAATTTTATTATAATTAGTAAACTATTACGTAATCATATTCTATATATATATAAATGGTTTTGTGCTACTTTTGTAATTCCCTCTTTTTGTATTGTCCATCTCTCTCTTTTTGCTCTCTTCTTCTCTGATAGGTTTCCGATTTCTGTGTGTTGGAGGCAACAATGGCGACAGGGATGCTGAGGAGGACAATATCTAGGGTTTCTGCAACGCCATTTTCAAGATTCGTACGAATTCGAGCTCACGCTTCCGAGGCCCAAGCCCAGCAAGTGGAGCAGAAGGCGGCTGCGGCGTCGAATCTGAAGACGTTCGCAATCTACCGCTGGAATCCCGATAGCCCTTCCAAACCAGAGCTTCAGGAGTACAAGATCGATCTCAAGGAGTGCGGCCCCATGGTGCTGGACGCGCTGATCAAAATCAAGAACGAGATCGATCCGTCCCTCACTTTCCGTCGCTCCTGCCGGGAGGGGATCTGCGGCTCCTGCGCGATGAACATCGATGGATGTAATGGCTTGGCTTGCTTGACCAAGATTCCGTCGGGAGCTTCATCGACGATTACGCCGCTGCCCCATATGTTCGTGATCAAGGATCTGGTGGTGGACATGACGAATTTCTATAACCAGTATAAGAGTATTGAGCCGTGGTTGAAGAGGAAGAGCGCGCCGTCTGTGCCGGGGAAGGAGATTCTTCAGAGTAAGAAAGATAGGGCAAAGTTGGATGGGATGTATGAGTGCATATTGTGTGCTTGCTGTAGTACATCGTGCCCCAGCTATTGGTGGAACCCKGAGTCTTATCTTGGACCAGCCGCTTTGCTCCATGCCAATAGGTAATTCCTCCACTTTGCTTGTTCGGTTATTCTCTGCTTCTCTGTTTGTAGACAGTGCTGTTTAGAGGAATTAAGAAACTACTTGTGATGAGCCATTGATTTGGGTGGTGAGGCTTATACCTGGATCATTTAGAGGATTCAAGGGCGTGATTATTAAGTTTCATTTCTGTTGGACAAGAAGTAGGCAGCAATAATTAGTGTCTTTTTGGTGTCTTTTTTGATTGCTTGAGGGAAATGAAAAATGCATAATATAAGTAAAAAAAACATAAAAATTTTAACATCTACTTACCCAGCAAATGGGTATTTCAAAGTATAAAATTTCTAGTGTATGGTGTTGCTAAAACAATAGACAAAAGAAATGGTAGATGTTATAATATTTTATTGACAAATTAATAGGAAAAGAGAAGCTAAAGAGGAAGAAAAACTTAATGAAGGGAAGTTTTGTATATGAAAATGAGATGAAAGAACAGGTAGTACCGTGTATAAAAAATAATCGAAAAAACTGAAGAACTTATTGAAGTATGTCAAAGCGTGTGTCGAGGTGCTACGAGTGAGTTTGAGGGTTCCTGGAGATTAGGCACAGCACATGCCTAGGTGTATTCAGGTAGAGGGGATATTCTAAGCAGGGAGCGACCTTCCATTAGTTTATTTGTACACCCTTCGCGGTACAAATAAATAAGTGGTTTCTTATTTCACACAAATTTTACCTGTGAACTGTGCTCCCTTAATCCTTCCATTTTTTTGCATTTCAAATCAATGATATAATCTGTTATGTCTTCTTCGTCCTTAGGAGGTGATTTCCTTCTCCTATTTGGAAAGGAAAGAGATGGGTCACATTCCACGGCAGAATGTATGATTTATTGTGGTCGCCTGTTGCGTTTAGAATCAAGCATGTTCTTTTGATTGTTTCTCATGACTCAACAAATTCATTACATGCTTTTGTATACAAAAGTTGAAACTCATGTATTTACTTTAGTTTCTTGCCCTGATGATAATTTCAACCTTAGTACTTTTTAAGTAGTTTACTAAATAAATAGATAGTGGACGGAGTGGAGGATCTGGTTGGAAAGTTTTTGCTGATATTACATAAAAAGAATTTTATCCACAAAAATTACTAAAGAATGTTATAGTCAGTTTGACTGGAGACGCCTGGAACCCATGATTATGAACATGATATGCTCCCTACAACTATTAAAAGCATACCATGCATAAATGATATCTCAGGAGGATTTTCTTCAACTTTTTACTGACATACTAGTGATGGAGACAATTGTAATTGTTCTATTTGGCATTAATGATGGAATTCTACTTGGAAAATCTTTGTATTTAACGTTGTATTCGGACATAGTTCATGACCTCATAAGTTCATATGTATGTATGTATATGATTTGATTGTATGATTCATCTATTAGTTATTACACCTCACAATTTCCTATCTAGCACCATGACATTGCAAGAATATTGATGATACACAAAGCTATGATTAAATTGATTTCAAAATCATTACAGAAGGAAGAAAATATCAGTTTAAAACTACTTAAAGTTACTAACACCCTTTGTCTCTTGCACTGCATGGTGTTTGTTTGGTTCTAAATCTCCTCATCAAGCCACCCCTTGTTTGTTTGGTTCATCAAGGACAGCGATTCTTTTCTCTTCTTTTCTTGGTATTACAAAATGATATCATTTATCTCCCCCCTGGTATGTGCAGGTGGATAAGTGATAGCCGTGATGAATATACCAAGGAGCGACTTGAGGCAATAAATGACGAATTCAAGCTCTACCGTTGTCATACTATTCTGAACTGTGCCCGTGCCTGTCCAAAAGGTTTGAACCCCGGAAAACAGATCCAAAATATCAAACACCTTCAGCTCGTGGGTTGAGCCTGAGTTTCAAGGTACATGAAGCACAATAATGTTCTTTTCATTCAGTCATGCGATGTATTTTGTGGATGTGATTTTGATCTAATAACTTGTGGATCATTTAAAATTGGGGTTTAAGTATTTATATTACCCCTAATAAATGTTGATAGAAACCTCTTGGCTGGCTTCATACCATTCCATGATCATCCTTTATTCATCTGATTCAATCAAAAAGTGGTTCTTGTTGGTGTTAATTTGAAAAGCAAAAAAAGGCATGCAGTTTTCTTGTGAGTTATAGAATACTAAGCTAAGCTCATGTGGTTCTTATGACACTTTTTTATCTGCAAATGATTGTAAATAAACTGTAGAATTGAAAACTATTGCAACAGCAGATGTGGGATGACAATTACAATATTGAGAAGTGTATAATTAAAGCAGCCCATTGAACCTTATATAAAGTGAGCCTTCTGCTGAAACTTCACCAACTGAGCAGCTAATTTTTTGCCGAAACAAAAGGGCCATTTTTATTTTTGCACTATGATGAAGTCATTACCAATGCCTGTGCTTGTATTTCTAGTTTTGGTGATATTCATGAGTCCCAGTTGCAGTTCCAGAGTTCATGTGAATAGGGAAGCTTTTGAATCATCACAGTATGTTTCTGTAACAGGTATGCAACCACGAGTGTCGGTGTCATTGACCATGTGTTAATATTTCCATCAGTACTTTCATATATCATCAACGCATGTGATTTTGGACATTGAAAATATGACTATCGACATCACTTGTGTTTCTCCAATGGAAATATTATGCATTTTATAAGTTAGTAATGGTAAAATAATATTTTTATTTATTTTGAAAAATTATGAAAAAGGGAAACGGAAATAAGAAATTAGAAGCTTGATTTTGTTGTTTCAAAAATTTGTATACAATTTTGTATTAGAAACAAGAAATCAAAATAATTGCAACTTATGTTTTTCAAAAACTAAAAATAAGATATAGAAATATTATTGGATCCTATTAAATTTTATAATTTATATAGTAGTTTATAAGTACATTTAGTTTTTAGCAATTTATCGATCTACATAGATAAGAAACTATGTTACATTTTAATAAAATTTTCAATAGTTACAAATTTTTAAATTATAAAAATCAAATTGTTACTGTCGAAAATTCATATTATAAATTGTTATAAATTTTACATCAAATAAACTAATTTGTTACATTAACCTCAAATATTAAATTGTCACAAATTTTAAATTAAATGAACTAATTTGTCATATTGTGAAGTTGAGGTTTGTCAACTAAATCGATCAGCATCTACTCTGCTATTTTCTTTGAAGTCAAAAGCTCAAATCCTTGCACTACCATATTAATTATATTAAAAATAACTAATTAAATTTTTTTTTAATCTCTCAAAACAATTTAATCATTGTAATGATTTAATACTTATACTTTTAATTTGATAATAATTTAGTTCTTTTTCTTTTAAATATAACAATTTAGTTATTGAACTTTTTTAACATGTAACAATTTATCCCCTTTCATGAAAGTTTTTGTTAAGATTTAATAACATTTCTTATATAGGTGGATTGATAAACTAATGAACAACCAAATACATTTATAAATTACAAATACTAAATTATTATATGATAAAAATCAACACTAAAATTTTATGAATTTTCTATAATAAGAACTAAATTGTTGCCGTAAAGACTAAATTGGGCTAAATTGTTACTAATTTAAAAGTACAAAGACTAAATCATTACAAATTAAAATTTAGAATTGAAGTATTAGGACAAAACCGTTACCAAATTCGTTTTTTTAACCCAAACAAAAAAAAAAACTATGGATCTCACAATTATTCCAATCAATTAAACAAAGAAATTAAATGAAGTGAATCAGAAGAAGACAGCAGAAGAAAAAACTTGATTTATCAACAATAGTGACATGAGACAGCCAAATTCACCTAACAAAGAACATCCTCAACATTTATGAAATCTTAACCAAAAAACTCTCATGTTGGAAAAATGTGTAATTGTAGGGTGCAATAATGACTGTGACACTGCCTGTTGTAAGTGTGATGTCAGGAAACAGCCCCCTCTCTGTGTGCAATGCTGCCAAGAACCTTCACAAAGTCACTAACATTCTGAATCTCAGCTATTACTTCACTTGGTTTGGATTTAGCCTCTTCTACAAAACCTACTGTTCTCTATTTTGTATGAATTCTTTATTGGCTCAGTGGGAAATGTTTACACAAAAAATAAAATAATCTCCCCCATTATTTTCCAGTAAATATGATTATTTTATCAACCTGCCTATAAACAGTCTAGAGTTTGATTTATAAAGGCTCTTTGGATCTACAACAACAAAGCATAAGAAACAAACAGGCTCCATCCTAGCTCTCAGGGTATAATAGAAAGTAATCAGATAAGTGGATTCAAAACCTCCTGGAAAGACCAAGGAATACTGTGGCAGATGAGATCTGAACCCGTAGATCAGCAATATCGACATCGTGTCCACCTTCGACGAGACCCCACTTGTCCACCTGCAAGGAGTTTAAGGGAGTTTTTTCTTGTTTAGAACAGGTTATGCTGTTTCATCTTAATATGTATTCATTAGTAAGCCCTTGAGATAGCAGAATGAATGAGTAGTAATGAAGGAGAGAGGTAAAACCTGCAGATCTTCTTCGAGTCTAATCAACTCGATTGCTTCCTCGATCTGCAACTTCCCACGAAAAATTCCGATGGCGATTATTAAGGAGTGTGCAGCTGATGCAATGGCATCAATTGATGCCAACTCACAGTAGTCTGTTTTCCTTAGAAGATCTTCGACAGCCTTTATAAGACCATCTTCCTGCTTCCCACCGAAAAAACTGGAATATACAACAGGCTTAAAGCCAAATTCTGAGCCCACCCAGTCAAGTAAAGGATCTATTTTCTCCACTTGTCGTTCTACAAAGAAATTGCAACACCAATTATAGAATGAAACATTTATGGTTGAAAAACTGTACTCAATCTTTATGAAAATTGACAACTAGATAATTATCTCTATTACAAACACAATCGTCAATTGTCAATCCAAGTTAATTTGTGCTTTGTATTGTGGAACCTGGCCCAAAAGCATTGCAAAAAAGAAGTTCATGCAATTGTGAAGCAAGTATTGTGTACTTGGAACAGATAATGTCAAGAAGCTACAGAATATGTAATGTTGAAATCCCACGTTCAGATTGTCCAATGCAATATATTACGGCTACGTTGCTATATGCATGGTCTGGCATTCAATTGGCATTCAAAATTCTCCCAGAACCAGAATGAGATATTATTGAGATGAGAATAACACTAGAATGAAGAATATTAATAGGAAATTCAATAATAGTGTAGAGGAAACCAAATGCCCTCTATTGCCCTTTATTTAAATTCTTTTTCAGTATATCAGTAGGTGGTTGATCACTCATATCAGGATCTAGATGCTATTGTGCAGCTACAACCAAAAATTTTGGAAATGTCAACTAAAAAAAGTCGTAGATCACTCATATCAAGATGTAGATGTTATTGCAGCTACAACCAAAGTGGAAAATTCTACTTAAAAAAAAAAAAAAAGCAAAGTGGTTCATCAATTATCTCAGGAGTCAGCATGTAGATGTTATTGTGGCTAATGTTATAACCAAAAATGTAGAAAAATTCTACCAAAAAGAAAGTGGTGATCACTTATATCAGGATGTAGATGTTGTTGCAACTACAATCAACAATGTTGGAAAATCCTACTCAATCGGCATCTTAACTTTTGGAGTCTTCTAAACCAAATGTTTTCTACACAGGAGTAACACATTTACTTTAACCAAGTCAAAATACGAAACCCGAAAAGACCACTCAATATATTGCTCGTATTAGTTGATCTACGGCCATTAGACACAAAATAAAGCCAATAAATAGCAACTTGAGTAAATCTCATGCTTAATGATATTGAACTTAGCTATCTACTTCAGTCAACAAATTAGTTATGAGCTCATAAGATTACTCGACATACCGTGTACTCCACTGGTTAGAACATTGTCCTCGGGAGCACGACAGAAAACCAGATCCTGATTGAATTTCTTCATCAAATGTGCGATGATCTTGGGCCGCGTAAGAGGGACTCGTTCCAATGCGGTACAGGCCAATTTCATCAGAGGCATTGTGAAGGGTCTGATCCCATCTGTTTCCTACAACGATTAAAGCTTCATTTCAATCCGGACAAACAAAATTTCAATAACCTTCCAAAAAGGACGAGAACGAAATCACGATCAAAGATATGGGAAATCACCTGATATTCCCACTCAGCCGCTACTGCCTTGGCGAGGCCTAGAGTCGGTAGCTTAAGCGGCCTCTTCGAAGGGGTCTTCAGCGTCCGGTAATCAAGCATCACCGTCCATCCATTCCCGTCGTCCGCCTCCCTCGTCGTCACTTGCTGGTAAAACCGCTTCCCTACGACGGAACCGGTCATGAACGAGGTGGGCATCGTCACCGACGAGCTGGAAGGGGATGAAGAATCGGCTCTGGAATTCGAAATTGGAGCCTTGACGAATATGGCATCTTCTCTAGCGCTGCCGTCGGAGAAAGTGAAGGAGGCAGATTGGGCGTCGGATTGAGCTTCTTCGACAGCGGCGACAGTGGAAGTAAGCGTACGCGAGCGGAATGGATGAGCTGCGATTGGCGTGAGATTTGTAATTCTGATTGATTTCGCCATTTTTGCTAGAATTGAGCTCGCCATTTTCTTACTTTTGCAGGATTTTTCTTGCGATTGTTCCGAATGATCTGCTAGGGTTTTAGAAATTGAGGGAGGAGGAGGGATTGCAAATAGACGGGTCGGGTCAATTTCCTGAAAAAAAAAACGAGTGGGTTTAATTTAATTTTGGTTAAATTATTTTGTCAAAAAAAAATATACATATATATATACACTTCTATACTATATTAAAATGCTATTTGAAAAACATTTTTGCACTATAATTTTTGATTAATTACAAATAAATAAACTCAAATTAATTTTGAAAAATATAAAATTAGTTTTTTAATTGCACACATGCAATTTGGGTTATCTTCGTGAACAATTGCTTTGTTTTAATATGGAAACATATATTTTTTTTTAACTGATACCAATTAATTGTATTTACAATTAAATACATAAAAACTTCTTGTTTTTTTTGAACCGACCAATTAATTATCTTTACGATTAAACACATAAACCGTTTTTATTATATTTATTATTATACTAAAATCGATAACTATTAAAATTCTACCTAAAGTATATAAATACAAAACATATCATCAAACTGTCAAATCGAACATAGCTCAAGTGGTTAAGGCATCTACAATAATTGGAGGGGGCACCTATGCATCCGCCCCTACTAGTGACACCGCACCGGCATCGAGTTTTCTAGTTGCATGCTCATTTTTTCTTAGACGAAATTAGTCTTCCAAAGGACATGTGGACCTTTCCGAAATTCGCCTTTTTGATAATATATAATCATAATTTTTGTAAACTTATTAATAACTTAAAATTTACTTACACTTCAAGCTGATTTATATTTTCAATCCGAGTTAATTTTAAACTCAAACTCAAATGGTATAGACTATAGAGTGGGTTAGTGGTTTAGAAATATTCATGGGTAGTCGACTTTTTTGAACAACGCTAGTTAAAGACATTTGAATGTTACACAACTCTATATCAAAAATTAATTTTAATTGTTTGGGTTGGGTTTGTAATTTAACCGGGATTATTTGGGTTGTCGAAATCTATATAACCACAACGATTGGATTGCATCCAAAATATTGCAAAACCTAACCCAACGCATGAATAATATCCGTACTTCATGATAGGAATATGTTTATGAGAGAAATTTTGTTGAAAAAGTGGGTTTGATTGAAAGCGTGAGTCGATTAAAGCTAGGAGAACAACAAAGAAAAAAACTAAAGGACGAAAGAAGACAATTTTCATTATCAAATGCAAGAAATGTATCAACAAACAATGGTCTCTCAATTAGATTTGCTTTGAATTTTTCTTGTTTGTCTTTTCCTCTCTTATGTTTATGTTGTCACACTAATTTTCGTCAATTCATCGTGAGATAGTGGTCCCGAGTTTTGTCTGACCTTTATAGTCTACTTACTCGTCAAGAATTCTTGTTCTCTCTTATCTTTTGATCGTGAGAGAAGGAAATAATATTTTATACCAATCACCAAATTCGTTCTCCCTACCCCCAAATTATTATTAATATTTTATACCAATCACCAAATTCGTTCTCCCTACCCCCAAATTATTATAACATCATTTTAAACGTGATTGAGACTCTTTGATTACTTTCCCAACTCACCACAACATTATATTTTCATCTTAATTTTAAGTGGGGAAGTTAATTGAAATTGTTGTTTTGAAACAATTTCAATGCTTAAGGGTTAAAATCAAACTTTTAAAATGGTAGTAAATTGAAACATACCATCTTAAGATCATGGACATAAAATGAAACCGAGAACCTTTCCCACATATACCAATATTTTACAAGTCATCACCACATCACTTTTCCATCTGTATTTTAACAAAAAAAGTTGTCAAAAAGCTAATTTTGAAACAAAGTTTAAGGGTAAAATTAAAACTCTTGAAAGTTTAGAGGTATTATTAAAACATACCTATAAAGTCCAATGGCATTTTGTATAACAACCTTTAATCTTTTCTCGGTTTAAATCTCACGTTGGTCCCGAACTTTGAAAGTTTTGTTTCATTTTGCTCCTCAACTTTGTTCTGATGGTTGAACTTTTGACAATAAACTATTTTAGCACTTACCATTAACAAACTAACGAAATAATGATGTGACCTCTATATTTAGATAATATGCCACCAATTCTAGTAGCATCCAACAAGTTACCAATAAATAAAGGGATGAATTTATTAGCGCGTTTGTTTAGAGTACAAAATATGTTTAAATCCTATTAATTAGTAATCAATCGAGATACATAAAAATTAAACATAGATATCTCGAATCAATCTTTTTCTTAATTATTATTATTATTATTTAGGCCTAAAAAAACATTTTATTTTAATTGGATTACCTTTTCCAAAAGTCTTTTTTATCCAAATGAGCTGTCAGAATTTGTTAGTCAACAAGTTCTCCAATCCATCCATATAGCTTCCTTGTTTCCCAAGCTTAGCTTTATCTTCATTATATATAACAAACTCAAATCAGCTGAGAGAGAATCCATCGTTAAAAAAAAATGAAGAGAGAAGGCCGGCAACACGGAATGGTCAGAACCTACCGGATCCTCCCGTCGCCGGTCAACCCACGGCCGGAGAATTGGTTCGTCAACCAGTCCGGTTCACCGCCGCTCACGGCTGGATTGTTCGCTAAAGCCCCAGTCGAGCCGACCAACCACTCGAAGTTCACCGGAAAGTGCAGCCGCCCCCGGTGCTCCGGCTGCCGCATGCATCCGGTTTGCAAAGCCAGGAACAAGACCAAAGGTATATTTAAAGTTTCTACCTTGATTTGAAATTTTTTGATTTGACTCCTAGAGTTTGAATTTGGTTTGAATTTCATCTCTATAAATTACGTTTAAAATTTTATTTCCTAAATTTTATAAATTTCAATATGATGATGTTAAAAATCCCACCATAAAAAATCAAAAATCAAGAGACTTGATAAGATTTATAAACATAAAAATGTGTTACTCTTTGTCAATTGATTTTGAGAAGGTAACTATATGAACATTAAGATAGCATCAAAACTAAACAAATTTAAACTAACATCTTGTCACAAAGATCCTATTGTTTAGTCAAATTTCACATATCTATTATTGTAATCATATGATTATAAAAAAAATTATGTAATAATGAGTTGAAGTTGTCTAACGACTCACTATGTTAGTTGACCTTATCGAAGGCTTAGAAGCAAAATAAGTAGATTTTTAAATTAAAGATGATTTGTGAGATTTATTAAAGTATAAAGATTAAGTTAAAATAATCAAACTCAAACCATAGGAACCAAATTCGTAATTTAATCCATATTTACTTTTCTCTTTCATATTATTAACATTCTCTTTCATTTGTGAGTTTGAAAATTAACCCAAACTAAATAAGTATTTATCAATATTGATTAAAAAAATAAATGATATTACATTATTACATGAATTCAGATACAACAGTACTTATTGTTTGTGTGATTAAATTCAAAAGTAGGACGGATAACTATTCTAATTTTTTTATAATATTTTTAACAACAGGCACTCACAAACTCCAATCATGATCGACGTTGTGGATTCAAATTCTCAACCTGAATTGAATATGTTCAACTCATCGGCCTCTCGAACTGTGGATCACTTATCGAATAACGATTGCTGGGATGGTGATGAGGACGATCATTGTGATCATGGAAATTTGGAGAGAGAGAATCTAGAGGGAAGTGGGGTCCAATCAAATGGTGATGACGATGAAATGGGCTTCTGCCACGTGGAGCTCGTACTAAACCACGCTCTAGAGCATGATCAAGAATGGTGTCTAGTGGGTGAAAATGAAATGTAATTAATTACCCTATACAATTTAATAATTCCAATATGATTGCAACTCGAACATAATCCAATTTGGATAGGTTATATATTTTGATCCAGTTTGAATTTCTATTCTCATATGGCGTTGAACTTAAATAAAAAGTAATTTAATGCAATTAATATAATTTTATTATTAATTCAATAATTTCTTCGTCTTTCAAATTTGATTTTCATTTTGTATATTAAGATCATGTTCATTTGTTTAATCTTATCTGATTTATAAATTTTTTGATTATATAGTTGAAGTGTAACTCAAACCGAGTCACCAATACTTTAATTAGTTAAAGTTTCACGTTTGACAATCGTCTTGTTTGGTTAAAAATCATTTTTGGTCTCTATACTTTCATTAAAATAACGATTTAGTCAATGTATTTGCAAATTTGTAATAATTGAGTATCTGAAATTTTGTATATAATAATTTAGGCCTTGTTGGTAACATTCGTGTTTGTTTCTGTTTCTTCATTTTTAATAAAGAAAAATCAATTGCATGACTTCAACGTCCATGAATTCAAGTATGATAAAACAATATAAAAAATTGGAAAGGGAAACAATAAAGAAGAAATTTATTTTGGTTGTTTCCGAAATTTCTATACAATTTTGGGAAAGTTTCCAAAGAAAGAAGAAACAAGAAACATAGTTACTTACACAATGCTTCGATTTCTTAAAAAAAAATGGAAACAAGAAACACGTTACCAAACAACCCTTAGTCATTGTAATTTAAATTTGTAATGACTGTGAAAAATGTTGTTAAAATTTCAATGAATTTTTTTTATAAATTTAATTGATAAAATGATGGAGTACCCAATGTGTTTATAAAATACGTACAAAATCTAAATGGTTAGACGATAAAAATTGATACTTAATCTTGATGAGATTTTTCACGGTAAAAATTAAGTTGTTTCAACTTGTAAACTATGTACAAGAATAAATTGTTACCTACTAAATTTCTAGAACCAAATTATTACCAATTTGACCTCCGGTCAGATCTCAAGCTAATTACAACAAAACACTTCTTTTTTTTTGCTATTTTTTTCTTAAATTATTATTTTGAAAAAGTTTTATGTTTTTTTAATTTGTAAAAACAATAATAATATTATTATAATATATATATATATATATATATATATATATATATTGGGATATTAATGGAGAAAGACTGTTTGATCAAGAAAATGATCGACTACAATAGTTTTGGATCAACTAGGACGAACTGGATAAGGAATCCGGATACCGTGCAGAAGACCTGCAAAACAAAGTAAGCACTCCGATGCTAAAGTCAGCAAATATCCAAATCAACTCGAGAGAGAGAATTGGGTTGTTCGCGTACCTTGAAATGAAGCGAAATGGTTCTATTTATAGGCAAAATCCCCGACAACGTTCTCGACAAGGCCTCAACGGCCCTTTAAGGTTGCCGTGAAGTACTGTGTGATGTCGCAGAGTCTGTTGGAGAATAGACTGAGTCGAAGTGATCCAAATAATACATTTGGTCGGCTCGACCGTTAAATGAGGTCAGCTCGACATGAGGATTCATGATCGAGGTAGATACACTTGCAAGGGGACACCATGTGCAGAACAGCCAACCATAGCATGCCACGTATAGGTTGAGAATTTGTCTCCAACAAAATCCATGGATGGAAGATTACTTGTAAAGCAATAGGAATTATCAATGGAGAATATTGTTTTGATATATAACTGATGGATATTGTTACCAATACAGGGGTTAAAGTTAAATGGCTATAAACTAAGGTTAAAGTTTAAATCTTTATTTCAAGAAATTAAAACGGTTTTCAATATATACATTTTTATTAATATATAAGAGTGTGGATCGAATTTTCAACCTCATTGTCGAATACATATGGATTAATCTATGGAGTTATCTCGCATTAATCACTGGTTTTTTTCCAATGGAATTCTGTGGCCCATTATATACAATCTTGTGTAATAAAATAACTTGACATTTTGGTCCATTATTCCAAGTAATAATTTCTTTCTGGTCCCCACACTCATTTGTTGCTATTTTTCTAATACATAACAACTACCATTTAGTATTATTATTATTATATTTTTTGAAAATAACTACCACTAACCTTGAAGAGGACAGTGTGTGTTGTTGATTGAGGGGCTCAATTTGAAAGTGGCTTTTAAAAAGTTATTAAAAAAAAATCAAGTGCTTTATTTATAAAACTAGGTTAATTTGAATTAACGATCACATGTTTGGTTGAGTCAGATTCATTATATTAAATATATGTTGATGTGTCCATATATCTATGGGTTTGAATCGATATGAGTTGTAATCGACATTTCAATAATATTATAAAAAAAAATTGACAAAATATGAAAAATATCAACAAAATTCATTAATATAAACATAATATTATTAATCATTTTTAATTTATTCATAAATGGTTAAACGATTATTTGTTCATTACTTTTTTTTATCAATATTTCAATCGATATTTTCATGAAATTAAGACTTCGACATTTTCATCGACATCGACATTTAAAACTTTGAGTTAATTATAAATGTATCCAGACAAATTATACGATAAACTTTTCTATTAAAATAAAAATAAAAGGTTAGCATGGCGGCAAGCCATTAAAAAAATTATTTATTAATTTTAAAAAATAGTGTCATTTTTTTAAAACAATTTTAGAGGTAGAACAAAATAAAATATTGTTCCTCCTCTCACTGATCAAAAGATTTGAGAGTAAACCAAAAGATTTGAGAGTAAACCAAGGTAAGTAAATTATGGACCATGGACAAAATCTAGGGTCTCCCACTCCAAGATTAATGGAATATTTATTATTATTTATTTCTCCAAAATTTTGATCTCTATATATTTTTATATTTTTATTTCTTGGGCTAACATATGGCTCTCATTCTTTCCTCTCTTAAAAAAATGGATATTTTTTCAAAGTTTTCTCTTTCAAATTTTTTCTTTAAATATATCTCCAACTTTCTTATATCTAAATTTTTTCTCGTTCTAAGTATAACTTTTGTTGGTTTATTTTCACTAACAACTATATTTTGAAATTTTTTATCTATTTTTTTCTCATTATAATTTTTTTCTCTTTCTATTTTTTCTTTTTCTAATATATTTTTCTTTCTGACTTTACCCTCTCTAAAATTTTCTATTTCTATTTTAACTTTTCGCTTACTATTTTTTAACTTCTTTCTCTTAATTTTTTTCTAACCTTTTTCGCTTAATTTCTTTTCTCTCTAAAATTTACACTCTCTAAAACTTTTCTTTAAAAAATATTTTTTTATCTCTCTAAACTTTTCATGTGTCTACAGTAGGCATGACAAAATTTTCAGTAGTGTCCAATTCTCGCTCCAAGAATAGGGAATGAATTTTCCACCATATCTCAATCTCGTGCCTATTCTATTTTTTAAGCAATTAATATATTTTTTATTAAATATTTTTTAAAACTAATTATTTATAGTAGTAAAAATAATTTTTGGGTAAAAATGATAATATATATTTATTATTCTTTTATTATTTATAGGTAATTCAAATTAATTACTAAACCGGTCATTTTTTCGATGAAGATTACTATCTCTTAACGGAGATTACTCAATCTGAACTTGAATTCTAGAAATCAGAGAATAGGATGGAGGCATGGACTAAAAATTTATATGAACATAAGGATGTAAAAGGGAACCTCGACTCTCACATGACACTTATGATGATCTCTTTCTAATATATCTTTTCAACTTTCTAATTTAAAAATAATAATAATAAAAGTGTTCCGAAACATGTTTGATTTATTTCATAGGAATAAAAAATAAAAAATAATTATAAAAAATTTTATTTTTGAAAAACATAGCTAAAAACAAAAAAATAAAAGGTAAAAAGAATAAAAAAACTAAAAATAGAAATCTTATCGAACGCTTCGAACATGAGATCGAACGATGAAGTTTTACCAGTGAGAAATATAGGAAATGAGGACAAAATTAATTTTAGCGAATCCTGGCTGCAACGTCATCTCAAAAGAAACGAACGGTCCAGATTCAAATAGCAGATGGAGGGGATAGTGACTGATTTGACTCACAGAAAGTTTTGATTTACTCAAATAACCTATCCATTTAAAATTGTTTTTTCTAACCTATTTTATTATGTTGAAGGGGTTTTTTTTAATATTGTTGTAAATGAAACTTATTTTAAAAATATAGTTGTTTAATAAAAAATATTAAAAATATTGTAGATTTTGAAACTTATTTTAAAAATATTGTAGTTTTAAAAAACTGAAAGTTGGTCGTCTCTTCAAGAGACGACCATTTAGACGAGAGACGACCATGTGGGATGGTCGAGACGACGACCACCCGGTCGGTTTATTTCTGAAAAACAAAAGTATTATGTTTTATATTATATATTATTTAGTAGCTTTAACTCCAAAAATTCTTGAGTAGTGTAGTGAATGTACTGTTGCTCCATATCTCTCCCGTCCTGGGTTTGAATCTTAGGTCATGCGTTTTTCTTCAAACCTAGGACGAAAGAGATATAGAGCAACAATACATCCACTACACCACTCAAGAAGAGACGACCATGTTGGATGGTTGTCTCTTGACGACCACCCTTCACTTTTTTAAAACTACTATATTTTTAAAAAAAGTTTCAAAACATACCATATTTTAAATGTTTTTAATTAAAATACAATATTTTTAAAATAACTTTTATTATTAACATTATTAATAAAAAACACCCGATGTTGAAGTATAACATACTTGTTTTGTTTCTATTTCTTCCAACTTTATATATATTTTTTTACTTTCTTTAAAATTTCTTGAACAAGTTTATAATAACGAATCATTCTTTCCAATCGATATCGAACTCGGATTTGAATCCATATTGTATAAATCTGTACCCTTTGATATATTTTTTTTAATTTGGGGTTGTTGAAATTAAATGGCCACAAATATCGGGCTTGGTTCTTACCTGGAATGGCATAAATCTCGTCCAAAATTCATAAATCTCGCATTTCTCGATGGCTTCATTAGCATCCCACTATTCTGCTATACTTAAATCTCGGGCTTGAATCCCGGTGAGATTGCATAATCTTGGTTGGGATTTATTTAATCTTGGCCCGCATAAATCTCGGACTTGAATCTCGATGAAATTGCATAATTTCGGTAGGGATTCATTTATTATTTTTTAATTTGGGTTTGTTGAAATTAAATGGACATAAGTCTCATGCAATCTCAAACCAATAATTTTGTTTACCTATGAATGAGTGGTCAAAAATAGAAGCCAAAACTCTGATTACTTATGAAAACTCAAACAAATTTTACCTGAAAAATAAAGAAGTGGGCAAAAATAGAAGCCAAAACTCATAAATTTTTCTCGAGAATTGACCTTTGACTTATTTATCAGGCATGAATTCGCCTAGGAAATAAAGCAGATGCCAAAATAAGAGGCTTAAACTCGAGCAAGGCTTCTGTCTTATTTCTCGATAAATTATCCAAGGGCCAAAATGAGAGGCCAAAACTCGGGCGAGTTCGAAACTCGCCCGAGTTATGAAATTCGCCCGAAAACATCGGTTCACGGGCGAGTTTCAATAACTTGGGTTGTTTTTTAGATAACATTATACGCTTTTGTATATCATGTTAATAATATATATCTTGGCCTGTTGGTCATGAGTGGAAATTTCATTTGTTTATGCTAAGGTTGGATCCCTGCCATATACATTTTTATTAAAGAATTTTTAAAAAATTTTTATCCTAATTTTTATCCATGCGATTCAAACACTTGCACGCGTGGTAACTAACGAAAAAAAGTGGGGTCTAAAGCAACTAGGCCAGATATTAGTTTGGTAGTAAAAATAACAATTAAAATTATACATTCAATTTTAAACTTGTTTGAGATACCAAAGTATAAAAACTCGTCCGTGAACAAATTCCGAGAAAATTTCATAAAAATTCAGGCGAGTTTTCTTCGAAATCGCCCAAGGTTTGGAGCTTCTTTTGTAATGAATATAAAATGAGAGGTAATTTTGGATTAGAAAAAATAATTTTTGAGGAATAGGTTATTTGAGCAAAATAAAACATTTAGGTCATTTGGGTCAATGTGACCAATGAGCGTACAAATTGCCAAAAGGGAATCTCTTCAGTCTTCAAACCTTAAAAGAAAAAATCACCCAAAAACGTCTCATTAATTCGCTCCCCACAGTTCATCTTAGAGAGAGAGAGAGAGAGATGGCTTCGTGGAATTCAGTTCCGCTGGAGATCGTTTACGAAGTATTAGGATGGAGCTCAATCATATGCTGGGGAGTCGCCGGATATCCACAGGTCATTCTGAATTTCCGGCGAAAAAGGTAAGAAAAAATCTATCGACTCTCGATTCCGGCGGCCGCGCCGTCGTGTTCATCGGCAGGATTATATATTGATGTTCTTTGTTTTTGTTTTTGGTACAGTGTTGTAGGATTCAGCTTCGATTACTTGATTCTGAATTTCACGAAGCAGTCGTCGTATTTGATTTACAACGTTTCTCTGTTCTTCAGCGCCGCCGTTCAGCGCCAGTACTTCGATAAATATGGCTACGATCAGGTAATTTAATTTTTCTTCAAAATTAGTCTCTAATCCTAATTCTAATCCTACCGATTTTTGTTATAGATCTAACCTTTAAAGAGAACAAAAA